TTTTTATTAAATWAAAAAAAATACTAATTAATTATTTAAAAAATTAAAAATATTACTAATTAATAACTAAAAAAATGTAATTACTAATTAGTTGTTAATTGTTTTTAATTAAATCGTAATTTTTCGTTATTTTCTTAGCTTTGTTAATTATTTTTTAATCATTTAACAACACTTTTTCTTTTTAAATATTATATTTACTGATTATTTTCTTTTTAATTTTTTCCTAATTTTATAATTGCGTAAGTCAACAATAAAAACTCAAAATTTTTTTTTTGAAAATTTAAAAAATTAATAACTAGTTAGTAGTTCTTTAATTTTTTTAAATTAATTCGATTTTTAAAATTTTTTTTAACTAGCTAATTAGTTCCTAACTACTTAACAACAATTTTTAATTTTAATTAATATATTTTCTGATCATTATTTTTTTTTAATATTTTTTTAGTATTCTATTTATATGATAGTTTGAGTCAATATTTAAAATGAATTTTTTTCTAATAGGCATTTTTAACCTTTGATGTTATCTAAAATTAAGAAAAAATTGTTTTCATTTACTTAATTAGTTTTAATTTAAATTCAATTTTATTCAAATTTCAACTTTTTATATTATTTAAAATTAAAAAAATATTTTGCTTTAATTAATTTAATTAATTTAATTATTTTAATTTAATTTTTTTTAAATTTTTTTTTAATTGATTGTAATAACTTTTAAAATATTTTTTTACTTTTTTCAACTTTTCTTTTATTTTTATTCACAACAACCCCACTTTGCTGCCTTTCTGTTAAATTATTTTCCTCTTCTCCGAACGACAATTGCAACACTCATCAACACAAGTACTTAGACTCCTACCACTCAGCGTTTGCCGCACGGCTGCATTTCGTCTACAACTTAAGCAAATTCATTCGGCCACCACACCCCCTCAGCCACCCACTTCACAAGCAACAAAGCGCGCACAACACCCTTCAATCGCCACATTACCACACTCATTAGAACTTATGAATTATTAAATAGAATAATAATCGATTTTCAAGTGTTTTTGTGTCGCCCACACCACGCCACCACACTGCTCAATAAGACTGTTGAGCAGAACCTAATTTTTTTCGTAAAGTAATTTGCGCGCTTAAGCCATTAAAGCGCGCGGCAAGAGAAATCAGCGCGGCGAGGCGAGACAAGTCCTGTCTGGGTTGTTTACAAACGCTAAATTTCTACAAGTTGTTATTGTTTTTGTAGCTGTCTGGCATATTTAACTTGCAGCGATTCGCTATATTGACATTTTTGTTGTTAAACCACTATTTGTTTCGCTTACCCACAAACGACTGCCGAGAGCCGCCAGCCATCAGCCGCCGCACTCATTTTTCACTATACGCCTTACGCCGCGCGCCGCAACGCGCATTAAGCAGCGCTTAAATATTATAAATAAATGTAAAAGCGAAAAGTATTTATGATGACAAATATTGCCAAAGGCTACTCTAGACGGCAAAACAACGCGCCACATACAAACAAGCAAAAACAACAGCAAATACACGCGTTCTGTCGCTCCGGCTGCCGAGTCCTGCGCTATAAATGCTTCAAATCCGTGCCCATTTCATAACGGAACAGAACGCCGAGTGGGCACGAGCGAAAGACAAAGCATTAACAACATCACCAACAACAACAACAACAAATATGCAGCTGCGCTGTAGAGTGAGCGTGAGTAAACACGCGCGCTAGTTGGGTAATGCCAAGAGTTTCGGCGTTATGACCAAATGTAAAATCCTTCCATATCCTGTCAAAGCATCAACAACATAACTGTTGTAGTACACGTCATCGTCAACCGTCAACTATTACAACAACGAGCCGAGTAATATAAGTACGTTTGTACAACGAAAATGTCATTGAAATTTTTGTCTGTCTCTTTGGATGCCAGCAACATTTGCTTGCGTCGCCGTCATTTCTACAAATGGATTTTTAATACCACAAACCAATACACGACGACGACAGTTGGCCAGCATTTGGCAACATCCGTCGTGGTTAGCGCGTTTCATTGTGCAATGCTTTTCGAAATGCTTTTGCTAAATATATATGTACATACTACAAGTATATATATATATGTACTATATATTGCCCACATACCTGTATCTCAGCAACGGCTTGCCGCAACACTTGCGCTCTTATCCTCAACTTCGTACTCAATCGCGCTTAATCCTCGAACTCATGTGTTTTTTGTGTTTTTACACGGCCATCAGCTATAGCACGTTAACAGCAGTGCTACTTGCCCCACATATATATATTTCGATATATTTATGTTCATTCGGTTTCAAGCATGTTTTCTCTACTCGCTGGTCTGTCTACACTTCCTATGTTTGCTCCTTCAAGTTTTGAGTTTTCATCGTGGCTTGCTTGTTTTTGTCCAACGCATTCCTGGGAAAATAGCCTGCAGCACATTCAACTCGAAAAGCAAAGAAATTTGCTAATAAAATCCTTTCCCACAAGTTCTACAAGGATTTAGGCAGAAGCATTGCTACACGTACTTTGTTTGAGTAGTTATTCGCCTAGCTGTGGGCTTACTTGGCTCGACTCATGACTGTCATTGCTCAAAGTCGATAATGTTTAATCACCAGATTACAAGTTCGACCACGAAGTAAATGATGCGGGCGGTTAGAGAGCGCCGGAGAAGGAGAAATGGGGATAAAGGCTGTTGAAGAGCAGTCAAAAATGAAAAAGAAATCAGCTAATGGCTTTAAAGCGGACTTAACTGTAAAGAGGTTGGAATAGCTTCTGACTAAAATTTAATAAATGCTTAATAAAATTGTAACTTAATTTTAAATTAGAAAAAAATAAAGAAAATTAACAAAAAAATAAGAAAAATTGACAAAAAAAATTAACAAAAAATTAAAGAAAATCAAGATAAATTTAAAAAAAAATTAACAAAAATTAAAAAAAACGGAAGCTAATTAATAAAAACAAAAAAAAATGCAGTCACAATGAAATTTAATAAATTACGCAATGAACAAAATATTTCAGAAAAATTTTTAAATAACCAAATTGCAATAGAAAAAACATTATTAACAA